ACTAAAAGATTCACATTTACTCACAGTTAACACAGACACTGCCTGTTAGTTTTGCAAACTCAACAAAACTGTGTAAGAGTGAGGTGATTTCCTCTATGTGGCTTGTATGTCATCAGTAAAATCAACTAACATTTACAAAATCCTTCTTGGGGATATATAGCACATAAAGAATAGATCATGGCTTCAGACTGAGTTTTCCAGAAGGATCTTAGCATAGGAATTTATCAATATTTCTATATTTATAGAACAGAACATAAAGACATTCAGAATTACATCTGTCATGTCTGGAAGGATGATGATACTTGGATCTCTAGTTGTTTTTACAATGGAATAATAAAGAAAAGTCCTATAAGAAAATTAAATATATTGCTATGTCTTACATAAACACTTTCAAAGTAAAACTTTAATTTTTAAAATAATTTTTTCCAGAATATAGTTTCACTTTTTCTTTACAAATAAAAAGAATTCTCACAAACTCCTTAACAAACCTTGTTAAGATATTTCTCACAAACTCCTTAACAAACCTTATTAAGATATTTCATAATTTATCTACATCCACCTGGGATTGATTGAAATAACGCATCTTCCTCTTAATTCTTACTAACAAGCTGATATTGGGACACTGTTCAGAGCACTCCAGTGCTTAAAATTTTGCTATATTAACAAGAATACTAATCCATAGCAATTAAAAAAAAAATCTTCCTATAAACACACTCTAAAACATAAACCACATTATTCTAGTGCTTATTTCTGAAAGACTTTTAAAAAAGGCAAACACAAAACCAAACCAACCAACCAACCAGAAAATTACTAAAACAGTGAAAATAAAAATCTAGAAAGTGGGGAGCATTCTGTTTTCAAGTGTTTAGTCAATTACCTAACCTGTGTTAAAACAGAAGTTTTCTACAAAAGATTGCATTTACCTGGATGTCTAGATTTTGGGAAAAACATTGGAATACAAATTTTTCAGTTAGCTCTTCCGAAAACTATTCAACAGTCAGTTTAACCTTTTCCCTGCTGAGAATGCAATGGATCTGAACCAAAACAACTCATGCAATTCTGCTGCTGGATAGCACCAATCCCCACCAAAATGCATATGTATAGACATAATTCCTACTGTGCCCTACAGATTTTTGCAGTGCTAAAGTAAATGAGGTAAAGGTAAAAACTAAATCTTACTGATTCTGCAGCTACCTCGCAATACCAGAAATTTTCTAGTCTACATTAACCCCTACAAGAACAGCTGAGAAATGTGCATATCCCCACACCAAGCAGCCAGAGATTTTGAATGCTTGTTTTATCTCCACTACATGGTAAACATTATCTGTATGCAAAAACCTTACATAGAAAGCCTGATAATAGTACTCCAATGAATTCTACGAAAGATTTAAATAAAGAATTTCCTGATTATGTTCAGCATACAATCTGCATGCATTCTGCTTTATAACTATTTCAAATATTTTCTTTAAAGTATTAAATTGTTTCCCTTCATTTAAAGTTAAGTCATGCAACCCTTTGCTTATTGCTTTGAATGTGACTGAAAAGCAACATTACTTTGAATAATGACAAGTACTTCAACAGAACTGGTACTAGGTAATTTTAGAGATCTTTTGACTGTGCCACGGAATTACTGCTTCATTTGCTCTATTTACTTTTCCCGTAACTAAAAATATATTCTACTAGTCCAGTAATTTACTTTTAAACTGCCCAGTCTCTGTTTATCTAACTTTTATACTTAACTTAGGATGTAAACTATCTGTAGTTCCCCAGACCTTATATTTTGTAGATACATTCTGGGTTCTTATAATTTCAGAGTTAAAAAACTGGTGCAGAGAAGATCACATACAAAAGATCATCCAAGGAAGGCAATGCATCTTTTTTGCTTCTTTTCCTCTTGAAATTTTAAAAAACATATAAATGCTGGAATTGAAAACATTAATATACGTGTCTGTGTATCTGATGACAGAAATGTACCTTTAGCAGAAATTAAACTCTTAAGAAAAGGTGGGGGAGGACAGGACTAAAAGGGCCTGGCAGAAGCTCCTATAAGCACATCCAATAACTGTTTTGAAAAGCAAAACAAAAAAACAAGGAAAACTTGCTCCCTACATTACAAAAGCAGTTTGCACTTATTTTACAGTATAAGCACACAAAGCTGATTTTCTACTTGTCACAAGTGAGTACTATAACACTCCTTTTTGTGGGGAGGGGGTAACAAGCAATTACTAACAACACTGAGAATCTCCAAAAGAGAGAGAGCTGGGGAAAAAAAGTATGTACAATTGTGCAAAATGAATTGCTGAGTGATGGTATCTGAACTGAGGAGAGATAAACTACTGGAAAGGAAGAGCAAAAAATGTAGAGAGAAATAAGTCAATGGATGTGGTTAGAACTTCTTAAAATGCTCCTAAACCAATCAGTCTCCATTAGTAAACCAATCTACCATTTAAACTAATAGATGGAAGTTATTCTTTCCAAAAAGGGAGGGTGGCAGGGGTGAGAGGGAGAGAGAGAATAGGGAGGATACATAAGGGAAAATACATGGAATGACATTAGGGATTAAGTTACACTATAATCTTACATGTGTGCCATCAGTTTTACATTCTTAACCAGAAGGTGCAATATTCATGGGAAGATTAGAAATGTTAGAGTGGGATAAAACACCCCAAAGATATTCAGAACGGCCCAAATAGCCAACATTGCAGAGAAAACACATTTTTTTTCTCATAGAAGCTGTTACAGTGACAAAATCTCTTTACAACTGTATACAAATTATTGCAGGAAGTTGACATTGTTGAAAGTATTCCATATAACTGACTTACAGATTCATCCTAGATATACTTTTTTAAGTGACGATCACTCTAGAAAAAACTAAGATTTCACCCATGGATTGCCTCAACTGAGCAAAACAGTTTTAGAGAGAGATTTTCAGAGAAAAGGGAAAGGAGAGAGTAAAGCAGCAAGTTCAATTACATATGACAAGGGATCTATACTAACCTACTGTATAAGAAGACAAGAGTGAAGAGAAAAAATATTCAAAGGCAGATCCAGTGATACCTCCTTTATTCATTTACTTATTTTAACCAGAAACTGATTATTAATAGAGCAAGTTTTATAGTAGCTTCACTAATAATTTGATCAAGGAGTATTCATAAATGATTGTATATTTTGTAACTGCAGTCATTTCATAGCAAAAGTTCAAACATAACTTTCATTTTCTGGCTTCTAAATGAAGGTTTATAATGAAACTGCATATAACCTGACTGTTTAGTTACTCATTAATGTGTCTGAACTCAGAATTGCTACTGTGACATCCTGTACCGTTGCCTGTTCTAACTGTGCACTGCTTTTCAGTCAAGTAAACAACTGTTCTTTCAAGTGACTAAAATGCATGTCTGCTCTAAAGGAGACATTTCGCAGAAAAATGTGAAATCTGTGATATTAAAAGACTAATGGTATAAAAATATCAACACTTCATCATAGAAAAATGTACATGTGATTGGAAAAAAAATTGCCTTTCATATACATTAACAGAGAATCATCCCCTGCAGACCTGAGACATCCCACATTTCAGAAGATTCTACGCAAACCCTCTACTCAAGAGTGAACAAAAGACTACTCCCACCAGCTGGGCCAAACCAAAATGACCCAAGCTGTTTTTAATGAAGATTCTCCAAAAAGCCCAGAAAATCAGTCAGTGAGCCCTTCTGAAAGAATAAACATCAAATAAAAATGAAGACTTTAAACTGGTAATTTGTGTTGGTGTTTTCTACAGATGGTCCATGAGAAACTTTCTACTTCATCTCCCTCCAGTGAGATCATCTTAAACTACAGAAATCAATGTGATGTTAAAAATAAGCATGGCAAGGCTATGCTGTATGATGAGCTGAGGAAAGACATTGAGACAGTGTAGGGTTTCTCACATGGAAAATTATAAAATACTGATGAAACACAATCAAGTTGTTTTACATTTACTTTAATAGATTTAATTCATTTGCATGTCCCTTTTTCTTTACTTTATGTACATCCACTTGGACTTATTTTAGTAAGACATTTGAACTCTCTCAAGGACTCTGGTGCATGGTTTTGAGTCTTATCTTGTCATTTTAACAGTGCTTTTTCATTCCCGTGCGATTTCTAACATACAAAACGCCATCTCCTCTAATCATCTCTACACTCCTAGAGACACCCTGCACTTAATGACAGAGGTGTTGAAAAGCAAACTACTACAGATCTGATCCCATAGCAGAATTTCAGCAAGTTTCACGACTGTTAGTTGGGGTTTTTGTGTATAAATTGGAATATATGTAACGGTATAATTATTTCTTTCTTTTCTGTATATTATCCTTAGGGACTGTGACGGTTGCATATATTCCAGTTTTGACAGTACATTAGTCCGGTCGTGTTTGGGCCAGTAGAAGATAAGCCGCAAATGTTTGCATTGGATTTTTACCCATGACCCCTGCCTGGCACCCACCCGCGTAAGCCTTGCGAAGCACCGGTGTGCCGTGTGTGCCCTGTGCCCTGCGGGCAATGGGCACACAGCGGCACCGCCCGCGGTGACACCCACCGGTGGGTCGCGCTGCGGCTCTGCGGCGGCGGCCGCAGCGGCCGCAGCTCCCGGAGCTCCCGCACGGCCGTTCCCTGGGCAAAGCCGCTCGACAGAAAGAAGCCCTGTCTAAAACCGAGAACGAAGCACAAAGTAGAAGGTCTCAGACCTACCTCTCCCCACCACAGCAGTGAGTCAGCCGGCCTGCCCGATGATAAGGGGCGGCCGAAGCGGAGAGCGGGCGCACTACAGGGCACGACCCCCCTCCCCCCCTCCCTCCCCTGCCTGCTGAGCCAAGGAGAAACTAGCCTGAAGCGCCGCCAACACCTCCCCGAACTGAGGGGCCACCTCAGAGCGCAGCCCCACACTCGCGCTGCCCCGCCCACCAGCGCCCTCACGGCCGCCGACGGCTCTGCGCATGTGGCCGCAACGCCCTCTCGCCCCTCCGTCCGCAGCGCCTGCGCGGTCGGCCTGCCGGCCTGTGCGCGGGGCCGGGTAGCGCCCGGGTGCCACTGCTGGCGTGGTCGCGGTGCCTCCCTCACTCCCCTCCCTCCCCTCAGCGCCGGCCCCTTCCTCCTTCCGCAGGGCCCTGCGGGTGGTTTGAAATTCACCGCAGTCTCTCACCCGAGTTCTCGGTGTGGCTGTAAGCGCCAGGCTCTGAAGGGGAGGAGGCAAGAGCGCGGGGCGGGGAAGAGGGGGGCGGCCTGGGGCGGTGCGGCTTGTCTGTGCCAACAGCTCCGGTTCCTGCAGCCCCTCACGGGGAAGGGGCGGGAGGGGGCGGTGGAGGAGGTGAAGCGAGGTAGCAGCTGGAAGGTCCGTGTCTGGCGGGCACCGTGGTCCGGTCTTTGGGCGTGGGGAGTGAGGGAAGGAAGGAGCCTGAGCCGATTCCGGGACCCACGAGCCCCTCGCACCCGTGGAAGCGGTGGAGGGCAGAGTGAAAAATTCCCCCTCCGTACTGAGGCGTCCCGGTGCTGCGGCAGGCTGGCCCGCAGGTAAGGCTTTCTGGGGCCCATGCAAGGATCGGGCGAGGGCTGGGGGCAGGAAGGGTGTCCCAAACACAGAAACCCGAGCGGCGAAGCGGTGTGGGAACCCGGTTCTTCGGGTTCAGAGGAGCGGCTCAGCCGGAACTGCCTGGTCAGACCGGTGAGCTGAAAGGGAAGCGATGGCTTGGGGCGGTGGTGTGCGCCCCTTCCGTATGGTCGCGATCAAACCTGTTGCGGGCGGGCCGGGGGAAGCCGGGCCCGGTCCGAGCCCTTCCTGCGGGAGAGATCCTTCCTCCTGGCCCGCGGGGAGATGCCTTGCGATCCTCGGGGCTGAGTGGAAACGGCAGAATGAGGCAGAGAGGGAGAAAGAAAGAAAGATGTGCTGAAATCCTGCTGTGTGTACTTCGGTGCCTTTCGCAGTTCCTCGGAGCACGTTACCACCGCTTCGCTGTTCCCAGAGCAGTAGGGCGTTCCCCCGCTGCGGCGGGCTGCGGTAGGAGTCAGGCTTGCTAATGCTTAGGCATTTGGGATTTATTTATTTCGGAGGACGTTTCTTTATTCTTAGTATACCTTGTTGCTATAATTGTAAAGAGGCTGTTGATGATGATAAGAGAGATGAGCACATTCGTGACTTTGGAAGGAGCCCGAAAACAGCTCTGAACTGTGTTCTGCTCTATGTGTTTTAAGTGATTACCGGCTTGAATCCTAGCGTGAGGCTTTGAAGGGCAGTGTCATGTATTTCACTGATAATAAAGACATTTTGTAGATGAAGCGGTACTGCGTTGAATTTGTATGATCTACTCAGTCGTCACTCATTTTAGAGAGACATACATTTTTGGCTTGAAATGAAGATGATCTAGGATCATTTTTATCCCTTTAAAGGATCGATGTTAGCATCCAATATTTATGGAGATGTGTGTGGGGGGCCTTATTACAAATTTCTTGTAAGATTAAATCAGTGCTTAAACTTTAAACATTCATTTGTCTTGATTGTAAAGCGAGGTAATTAAATATATTGAGGCCCAGAAATAGTTATCTTCTTAATATACATCTGCTTCCTTGGTTAATATAATTGCTTAGTGACGATGTAAGAATAGATGAAAGGTGCTTTAGCAGTATGAAATTGTTTGACGTACATGACATGCTTTTACTGTTGTTTCCTGTTACTTAGGTTTGGAGATGTTTACCTTGTTGTGAAGTCAGTTTTACCTGAACTGAATTCTTGGCTGTAACTGAGAACTTGTGAATAGAAGACAGTTGTGTGCAATGTGTCAGGTGTAAGTTTGTTGCCCTAAACATCAGTACTGCTTGTGAACTGACACCAAAGGATTTGGGGTTTATTGTGGGTTTTTTTTCCCAGGGTCTCATTGTCTCAGAAGATGGCATAGTACTTTAACACATGTGAACTTTTAGAAAGTGCTGTTTAGATTTGGCTCCTTGTAGTGGGGATCTGTAGAGCATATTAAGGCCTAGACTTTCACGCAGTGCACAAGCTGTCAGTGCATATATCCAAAAAACCTTGATCGGTATCATATATAATTGAATACCTGTGGTATATAACGTCAGCAGAGGATTAGAAACAAATAACGGATTTGATACTATGTTGCTGTTTTTGTTTATAAAATCCTAATGTGAAGGTGTGTGGTGGTAGTCATGAGTACAGTCCAGTAGCGTTACAGAAAATTATTAGAACTGCTTTCTGAGAAAGTAATCCAATTTTATTATCGTAATATCTGGAAACTAGGTTACATGTAAATGTAGGTAATGGACATTCTGTGATTATTACACATCCTTTAAAAATTTTATGTAAATAAATAGAGTTTATGTAAATAGTGCTTGTCTGCTTGTGAAGATGATAAAGTTCACATTTTCTTGAGTTAGGCTAGCAGAGTTAGACCTGCTTCTAAGGAAGAGGTGAAGGGGTGCCTATCAAAGGGCCAAGTGAGAACAAGTGTTTCTAAGCCTACCAGTCTGCCACCGCAGCAGAGAATTAGTCAGCAGGAATGATGTCAACTGATAAGAGTTTTCTCCAACTGCTGTTTCATCTAAGGGGTATCCAGGACAATCTCTTCCTCTTGCTTCGGTAGCTTTTCTTTGTTGTACTGTAACTGTATCACTAGTAGGAGTGTATTAAATTGGTAATTGCAAAATATTTTAAATAGTTGCAGCTTGTTACAGAATGTGGGTTGTTACCATGGGGCTTTCTATTTGTTTCATTAAAAAATATGGAGCCTCAATATAATAGCAATGTTTTTGTTTGATTTTTAATGAGCAACAACTCATTATTTTGTAAAATGACAGAAAGGATACTCATTTTGAAAATGTTGACAGTGTAAAAATGATGGTTGTTTCATTTTAGAATAAACACTTCTGGAAGAATCTTGTGGTTTATTTTTTATTATGCATTTTCATCATTTTTCGTGGTGCTGATTATAGTATTGTCGTTTCCTTATGTTTTAAAATTGCATTTGAATTCTTAGTTTGTTCCTGTATCTTCAGCATGTATGGTAGCACTGATTCTAGAAAAGTCCAGCTGTGTTACACTGCTTCTCTGAAGCCTACATATGGTTTACATTGTTCCCTGAGACATCCTTTGGTGAGTGACCATTATGAGAGCTTTGCAGATTCTTCATGTCACTGATAATAATATCCTCTACGTAATATTTTATTTTGTGCAGCTGTTGACAACTGACTGGTGGAGAACTCATACTTCATAAAATAAGTGCCACCACTTGAAGCTGCATCACTGCATGATGTTGTCTTGGAATTTTGGTGATTTGCAAAGACTGAGGAAGGTCACCAAAGATAGCTTGGTGGATCTGTAGGTGTCTCATAGTTCTACAGGGCTGTAGGATACCTTGGTACATTTACTGTCTTGCATTGCTTTAAGTTTGCCAGCACTAACCAGGCACAGTTACATTTTATGGATTCATCAGGCACTTGCAGACTCTTGAAAACTGCATAATGGCTTTTTGATTGTCTTAACTGGTGACTTCCTGTTCCTCTATAGCTTCATAACACCAACAAACTGAGGGATTTCAACTGCCTCTAAGGAATTGTAATTCTATTACTAAACACCATGAACTTATAAGAAATTGTATTTCTCAGATTTTAAAATGGCAAATATACTGCATTGAAGGTATATTTTTTTCCTGGAAAAGCTGACACGAGCTTTTCCACTCAGCACAGAAACTTTGTGCCAAGGGTTTCTGAAGTGGGCCATGATTAGAGACAAGCAGTTTCTTTAAAATGGAAACACTCTTCATCAACTGGAATAACTTTGCCTTCAACATAATGGTGAGCACTGTAATCTTTTGGCACATTTTCTCAGTCTTTGCTTTTTCCCTTTAATGTTAGACTCTTTTACTCATAGTAGCAGCTCTCTTTTTTGCAATAGTTTGGTTTCAGTTAATAATATTCTGAATGAAAATTCTTAATGAGTCCTTAAAACTATTGCATTAAACCCCAGTCTATTTCTTTCTCACTCCCTACACACCCCTTTGTTGGGTTCTGGTCACCCTGTGATCATACAGCCCTTTTTCTTTCTCAGATGCTTTTGGACCCATGAGCAGGCATACTAATTGCAAACAGAGTACCCTTGTATAGGGTCTTTCTTCTGAGAAAGACTTGTGTCCATCTTACATAATTTTAACTTATGTAAAGTAATGTATTTTTTTCTATGTCCATTTGCTTTGTCTCCTTTAGAGCTTGCTTTGACAAAGCACTGAAAAATCAATCAAACAAGATTGTGATTTCCAGTATGATTCTTTATGTTCCTTCTTAAATACGAATGCAACTTCTGCTGTTTTGTAGTACTAATACTTTTGGCTTTTTTGTAGCTTTGTGTTGCTAGAGCTGCAGTTTTATGAGACAGTTCTTTAAAATTACTGGGTTGGGTTTTCCACTGTTCTTCTGAGCACATTAACTTTTAGAACTTAGCTTTAATTGCGAGTATGGTAGCTTCCATACCTTCACTCATCAGCAGTATTCATTTCTTGAAGTAAAGAGCAACTGTTCAGTTAACTTAAGAAGTATATGTAGATTCTTTATTTCATCATCGTTGCACAGTACCCCTGCTTCTTAGTGCTTTCTTTTTAGTTAGGTGTTTGACAAAGCTTTTGTTCTGTGTATGTATTGCACAAGTATTTTTTTCAGTATGTTTAATATTTGTGGAACTGACAAAAATCAAAATGAGTTAGTACTGTTTGTGATTTATCAGTAACCTGAGATTGATTTTTCAGGTGAGGAATTGGGTTTTTTTTCCTCATGCTTCTTACATTTATCCTCCTTATGTATTAATGTTTCTAACCTTACTTGTCCAAATAACTTTGATTCAGATTCTGGTTCTAATAGACAGTGGTTGTAGAGAAGGGTTGTTCTTTTCTATTGTTGAATATATAGAGATTGTGTCTACACAGGTGAATTTTAATTATCTTGTAGTCTTGGTTGAAAGAGAAAAGGAAAATTTTGGTCTGTTATTTATAGCCTGTTCACACTGTAGTATCTGGATGCCTTGTATGTATGCAATGCCAAGTATGCTGGCAAACACCCAGGCATTTAGAACAGGTGGTGCCATTGAAGGTGGTGAGTGACAGGCCCTTAGATTATAGTGTAGCTTTTTTTGTAGTGTAGGATGGGTCACACTTTTTTTCTAGGAAGAAAGAAAGAAAGAGAACTCAAAAGATAATAGGAAGACAAGTAGATAGCGAAGACTTTGGGAAGAGTTAAGATTTACGTATGCCTGAAGTGAAGACAAACTAGAGGGAATTTGAGAGATTTCCTCACAGGTATTCTGGTTTGTTTGGAGACTTCAGACACTTCAGTGTTCTGGAATGAAATTCAACAGGATGTCATTTCATCCATTGCGTAATACAGTGTGTAACCCTGCCTATAGTAAGAATTAAGCAAGTAGTAGATGTGACTTGAGAATTCTGAACTGTAAATGCAGCAGATATTATAATGTTCTTTCCTTTTATATTGACTTACCTGAATGATAAAAGATAATAGCA